ACAATAGATACAAACTCAAAGTTAACCGCAGCAAACTTGATTGCAGGAAATACGACTTCAGCAATAGAGTGGTCAATGTCTGGAATACTCTACCCGACTCTGTAGTCTCTTCCCCAAACCCCAAAAACTTTAACCTTAGACTGTCTACTATTGACCTCACCCCTTTCCTAAGAGGTCTGTAGGGGGCGTGCATAAGCGCACCAACGTGCCTACCGTCCCTGTCCTATTGTTTCTCTTATTCTTCTTTTATTTTTCTTATATGTACCCATTTCATGTATTCACAACTATGTATACACTTATACTTATTATCTTGTAAACAATTGGCAAATCAAATAAATAAAATAAATAAATAAAAATAAAAAGAAACAATAGGACAGGGATGGTAGGCACGATTGGTGCGCTTATGCACGCCCCCTACAGGCCTCTTAGGAAGGAGGTGAGGTCACTAATAGACAGTCTAAAGTTAAAGTTTTTGGGATTTGGGGAACAAACCACAGACTCAGGTAGAGTATTCCAAACATTGACCACTCTGTTGCTGAAGTCATATTTTCTGCAGTCAAGTTTGGTGTGGTTAACCTTGAGTTTGTATCTATTGTGTGCTCTTGTATTGTTATGATTGAAGCTGAAGGACATTGCAATGTATGATTTTATATACAATATTTAGATCGGACCGGAAGCGGCATAGTTCTAAGTTTTCTAGGTCTAGAGTTTCAAGTCTGGTGGCAGAAGGTATTCTGCAATGAGTAGAGGAGTGGAGAACTCTTGTGAAATATTTCTGGACTTTTCCAATTGTGTTAATATCAGATACATGATGGATTCCATACTGATGAGCTGTATTCAAGTATAGGTCTAACAAATGTTTTGTATGCTCTAGTTAGTAGTGTGATATTACCAGAGAAGAAGCTACGTAGGATTAGATTAACAACTCTTAATGGCTTTTTGGCTATGTAGAATACTGGATTACAGACTTATAAAATAGATACTTAGTCTGCTAAGTCAGCCAACCACCAAGAGAATGAGTGATTGAGCTCCCTATAGAATGTTGGGAAAGCATTCTTCAGTTACTATGACACACAGATACACAAGCACTAATTTAAAGGAAAATGGCCTTTAGATATTCTTCCTGTGCAGATATACCACAGTCCGAATCATTCAGAAGGGGTAGAGTTAATTTCTTATTCAAATTTCATACCTTTTGATTGGGATGGGGTAACTGATTACCCAGTATGATAATTCTAAGACAGCATTCTTCCTCACATTCTGACCCTGTTTTCTTGACAAACCATTTCCATTGTGTAGCCTCTGGGATATTTAGAAGAAATGGGAAAAGCACTAGAGAGTACCAGCTCAGATTTATACAAAGAGCTAACTGTACATAATATTTAATTGAAAAGGTTAAATCATCTGAAGAAAATCAGTAGCATCTGGAAAGAAAGAAAGATAGCAAAAATATTTAAATGATTCCAACTATATCACGCCTTACCTTCATATGATACTTTCAATTGTCATTTTTATCTCATGCAAAAACTATAGTCAATGTTAATCATCTCACCTATCTTAGCTAAAAGATGGGGAAGTATCAGTGCTTGTTTGATTTTTATTTAGTTGGGCCAGTCTTTTCTTGAAAAAAGTGAATGAGGTAGTTAAATATTCTTAGACAAAAACTGATTACCATTTGTTTTATTCAGGCCTGTTTTTAATAGAAAACAGCCTTAGCTCTCAGAGAAATAACCTATGCTTCAATCCCATTTATACCAAAGGCTCAGTTCCTTTTAAAAGCAGTATCTAACTTAGAATCCAAAAAATGTCTGATGCCATGACACCTTGTCTTCAGGTCCCTTGGACATCTGCAGGCAAGCAAATTGCAAGGACAGTGGAGAACACTGCATTTATGATATTTCTGATACTGTCACTATTATCTTTTCAGTACTAGGCAATACTTTTTAAGGGTGCCCAGACAAGCTTTTTAATCAAGGTTGATGAATTTATTATTCTGTCTGGAAAATATAATTTGCAATTTATTTGTATTTTCATTTTTTTTCTTGGGTTGAAAAAACAATCTCAAAACACTGCTAAATAGAATATGAAAATAAACATGAAAAATTATTTTTAAAAGAAAAATAAGAATATTTGAATGGTTTTATATAATGTTGGGAGTGAGAAGCACAGTGACCTAGAGGTGAAGACTCTTGCCTCCCACTTGGAAGGTTGAGAGTTCAATCCTTAGCAGCGGCAGATGTTTCTTTCTCAGGGCGCAAAGAGAAAAATATCTGCTGCAAACTTTGCATAGGCATCAGGAAGTGTATCTGGCCAATAAATACTCAGCTTCATTCAGTTGCCCCGACTCCACCCTGAATAAAGGGATTAATGGGTTGTAGAAAGAAAAAAAATGTTGATCATCTATCTATCTATCATCTGTCTTTTTGTCTGTCTGTCTATCATCTATCCAATGTTAAGAGTGCTTAAAAGCTAAACAAGACTCTCACTGGGGATTTCTTCCCCCCAAAAAAAAGATCAATTTGAAAGGATTTGACTTTATCATAACCCTACTGGGACAACAAAAGATCAACCCTCACCCACATCTTGAGACTCCAATTACTAGCAGCACACTGTGACTACATTTATATGTATATGAATATATATTAATAGCAAGAGACACTTCATGTGTTCTATCTGGTTTAACACTCATAAAAGTTATTTCTTGGCTATGCACCTGAAATTGCCTTAGGAAGATTCTGGCTTCTCTGCATCTTTCAACATATGCAAATAAGCATATGAACATTTAAAAAAAAAAAACTCCTGCCCCATATATCCATGGCATTCCTGATTACCAGCATCCCTGATTACTGATTTTATTGGCTTAGGCTACTTGGAATTGTGATCCAACACATCTGAACTTCTCTTTTATTTGTTTGTTTAAAAGTTCACTCACTTTGTGTCATTAAAAACAACCCCCCAAAGCAGGAAAAACAAACAACACAATTAAAAACTGTTTTCAATGCATTGAAAACCATTAAAACAACAGCAATTTAGTAAAAGCCTGTAAAAGTAGCTGCTTCAAGTTATAAACAGTTTAAAAACTATGAAAGAGAACAGGATTATGCTGAATCAGGTCAAAAGGCACAGCAGGTTCTTAGTCAAAAGACAACTCTTTCTGCATCCAATTCCTATATGCTGGGTAAGAAGTCATAACTAAAGGCATCTTGAAGTTTAGAAGTCTTTGCTATGAGAAGCTATCGGAAAATGCCCAGCAAGTAAGTCAGTTCAAAAGTATGTGGACAAGGGTTGATAACAACTGGTTAAAAATAAAATATTTCCTTAAAACTTAGTCTGCTAGTATATAATAAAAAGAAATACTTGATTGCACAACGCTGATCCTAAACATACGTAAATAAAAATAGCACCATGAGATCATGTTCCATGCCATGGCTAGTTTATCCAGGAGAATTAAATTCTTCCTGGCCTGTACTCTGAATAAGTGCAGCCCAGAGGCAAGAAACCCACATGGGAGAAGGAATTAAAGTAAGGGCAATTATTCCAAAAAGTGAGAAAACAGGTAGGGAATTAAAAGTCTACAGTTTGATTTCATTTAGCTACACTCTTAAAAGAACAAATTAAACCTTACTTTCTTGAATTCACATACAGGTAGAAGGAAACATAGCTGTTTTTAGGAAAAGATTCTCTCTCTCTCTCTCTCTCTCTCTCTCTCTCTCTCCTTCTCCCTCTCCCGCTCTCCCTCCCTCCCTCTCTCCCGCTCTCTCTCTCAACATGTCACTCCCAGTTAAATATGGGTTCTTTTCCCCAAAAGACAGCTTCTCACAGAATTTTCCCTGTACTCTAAACTGTAAGAGAAACCACAGTTAAACAATTCATTGTTTATCTTATGAAAGTCAGAGTAATTGGCATTGACCCGTGGCATCTATTGAACTATATTACATTGGTCTGTAATAACCTATAGCTCATAGCTCACATGCAGCCCTAGACAGTTAGTAAGGCAGCCCAACAACATTGTAAACTTTTAACATCATTATTTATATACATTAACTAATTTTATATACATTAACTGAATTATATATATTTACATGCGATTTTACTCAGTGCAGCCCTGGCAAGTCAAAAGATTGGACACTCATGATCTAGACAAATGTTTCCCAGATATCTCCATTAACTTAAAAGTTAAAAATTTAACATATTTTAGCCTGAAACACACACATTATTCTGATACTTATCTCAAGTGAAATATGGTCCAGAAGTAGAGTGAAGTGGCCTGTTTTACTCTGAACAATGAACCCTCTAATCACCTGAAACTCCCTAATTTTCCAAGAATCCATTAAATCCAAACAGAAGATGTTTTACCCTTTTCTTTCCAATCTACCTTACAAGCGTTGTTGCTATGAATAAAATTAGGTGGAAACACTGCTGTATATGATATCTCCAGCTGCTATGCAAGATATAAATCTAATCAATAAAATTTGGTTGTGGGAGGGAGAGAATTTAGATGTGGATGGGACAGCCATAGGGTCTACTCAAAGATGGAGATGTAAAAGTACAACAGTATTTACTGTTGCTTTATAACAACAAAATAAAGGCAAAAGTAATCAAATGAGTGCCTAAATATATTCAAAAGCACATGAGAAGGAAACCAGTCTTTCCCAACCTGTGAGGTCCTCTTGATCCATTGGGACTACCTAGAAGAGAATTCTCAGACACATACTCTCAAGTACTCAAATTTGCAGTACAAATGCATTCTGTGTCTATGGACATGCTTTCTCATTTATCAAATATTGTACATCAGTGTGAGAGTTATTCTCTGAACTTTTTAAAGGTGTTAATAAGTATTATAAAAGATTCCAATACCCATAGTAAATTTACATGAAATCTAAATGTAGACAAAACAGCAGAACTTCACATCTTCCAAAGAAATCTTCTGTGGATATTATCTGATCATCAAACAGAAGAATAAAAATGTCAGAGATGAGTGGCAGCAAAGAGAAAGGACCATGATGTCCTTGTTGGTTCTGGATGTGATGACCATTACTTGTGTTTTCACTTCTGCACTACAATTTGACAGGTACAGCCTTTTCACATCATTAAAGGATATTGTGGGGGGTTTTTTTGTTTTTGTTTTTGTTTCCACGCCTTGGTATACTGCTCATTGCTTTACTTTCTCTTCTAAAGTGCAAAGGTTTTTCGCGTAAAACCACAAAATGAAAAGGAAGTAAGCGTAATGAAATCCTTGCCAAGCCTTGTACAGGTGAGAAAAATTTGCAACTCAGATGCTTTGTGCCCCATAAGGAATTTTGCAAAATACATGCCTATTCAAAATATATATGAATATTTTATATTTATCAAAGTAGTATGTGTGTGTATTTTATTTGATTACATATACAGAAACCTGGATATATGCATGCAGTACAGATTATTTGCTCAACAGAAGAAAATGAACTGTTTTGAAGGCTTCCAGTTTTTTAATATATAAAGGATTGTTAAAATGGCAGTATATATACACAATTAAAATTAATTAAAGCAGGAATAGCTCCCTAATATACAACATATCACAGGGCAAGGCAAATTTAGACATCTGGAATGTAGTTTTAGGGGTCAAAGAGAAACTAACAACAATTACTAATGTTTAATACAAAGTTTAAATATTTAAACTGTAGTTAATGATTGGGGATTCAAATGGAAGAAAGAATATACTGTTATTTTTTCTTTCTTCACTGTTTTTTATTTCAATATGGGAAAATGGAGGAATGTTACATCTTACTTTTTAAACTTTTTTTGCACGTTTATGTTTGCTTTTTTCTATTTTTTTGTATTTATAAACAAATGGGTAAAGAAAAAAGAAAAAATGACTAGTAAACTCAGTTAAAAACCTGTCCTCTATTCCAAAACCTGTATGAAACTTTACAATATCTTATTATTCTTGCACATTTTTTTCTTTTCTGAAACAAAGATTTCATTCATCATATATTTTGAAATTTCAAACATCTAGATGATTCTGCCCCAGATATTTAAAAGTAAGTTAATTTCTAAAATTAGAGAAACAGGGGAAGACACAGTGGATATTATCATTATCCACTAAATTTTAGATCACATTTTAGTAAAGGGTGACGAAACACCTATTTTCTTAATAAGCATCCATAAACATACTTGTGATGCCTACCTGAAAATTACTGTGTAAGAATGAAGATGCAAGCATTAACAATCGCCCATATGAATATCCTCACTATTTCCTATGGGTTTATTTTCTCTCCTTATACAGTATTTAAGAGAATTAAATTCATGCCAGGATGGCATTAAAAGCCAATTTGAAAGATTCACATTATCTTAAAGTTGTTTTCAAGTTTAGTTGGATTCCTGGTGATTTCATGGATGTGCAGTTTTTTGTTTTTTACAGCAGTACAAACATGCTTTTCCATTGTTGGGATGTTTTTATTTATTTAGAAAAGCTTACATGACTTTAATATTTATTAATCCTAGGCATCTAAGTGGTCCCCCATCCAAATACTAAATAGGCTTGACTCTATTTAACTTCCAAACCCAGGCAATATCGGCCACACAATACCATCTACTGAGACTGTATTTTCATCCACATACAGACACTTTTCTCAGCCTAATATTGGCTTTTATAAATCACAAGGGGAAAACTTAAAAAGCAATTCAGTGTATATAATAAGAAAACGGGTATTTGTCAAGCTTTAGCCCTTTTCATGTTCTTTTCCTAATTCAGTAAATGCAGATTTTATTTCTAGACAAAGAATGCTTTATAAGTAGAATATAAACATGATGAAAAGCCTTGACATTTTCATTTTCTTTTGACTTGCCTTATTGCCTATGTATAATGTGGATTTTTTTAAAAAAAAAAAAAAGCCTTGCTACTCAAGGTCTTTAATATGCAATGTCAAATTAGAACCAAATAAGAACAACCAAAGAGTCCAACTCTATCATTCCAATTGAATTACATTACTAATTACATTATTAACCTAATACCATAAGGATTTCCTCTGCCTTTCCATTACCAAAGGCTGAATCTGTGGCAGAACTTGGCTATACAATGCATTCTCAAAACAAAGCTGCTTTCCAAGAAATACACAAAAGGATAAGACTGTTTGGAAAGTTCTCTTCCTGGCTTAATTTAATAATTAATTGTCATTAGGATTCTGCACTGATTTACAGGGGACTGAGTAAGCTGCAATCTCAAAGCTGCTTATTGTTACAACCATTTTATGGGCCCAAGAAGTCTTTAACAGCACTTATTTTTAGCTTTCTATCATGATAAACATGCAGTAGAATAAAAATAAAACCACAGAAAAGGACAGTCAACAAAACAATCAGATTGTTTCAATTGGGATTCTTTTTTTTTTTTTACTACCAGTTCTGTGGGCATGGCTTGGTGGGTGTGGTGGGGAAGGATACTATAAAATCTCCAGTCAGAGATGGCATTTGCTGGTTCTCCAAACTACTCAAAATTTCCGCTTCCAGTTCTTCAGAATTGGTCAGAACCTGCTGAATACCACCTCTGATAACAATCAACATAACAAGACAACAAACAACATAACACTTTGGAACACAATGCTAACACTTAGCCACTGGCTTTCCATGAAATCTGCCATGGACCAAATGGGATCCTCTGGCATTTTAGACACCTAGATTCTTCCCAAACTATTGTTCAGTGGGCCACAACATCTGCCCAACAACTTTAACATTGATTCCCAATGGATAGCCAATATATGAAGACATATAAATGACCCCACAAAAAAAGATGTTAGGCTTCGAACTCTCATGCCAGCAAATAGACAATCCTGAAGAGGATTTGCACCTCACATGTCATTTGCCAGGAATCTCTGTATAAGTGGGGCATAGTATCCTCTCCTCAGTGTGAGTACAGGATCCCATATCAAACTGTAAATCACATGACTGGCTATAAATTAAGGGCATATGCCGGTCCAGTGTTTGATTTTTTTTAAAATATAAACAATGCTGCATTTCAATGGTTAGATTTAACAGACAGATTTAACAGATAATCAGAGTTGGAAGGGACTTTGTAGGTCATCTAGTCCAACCCCCCACCCAAGCGGGAGACCCTACACCATTTCTGACAAATGGCAGTCCAATCTCTTCTTGAAAGTCTCAAGTGATGGCGCTCCCACAACTTCTGAGGGCAAGCTGTTCCATTGGTTGATTGTTCTTGTTATGTTCTGGGCATGGGCGCAAGGAACGGAGACGAGGCAGTGAACGGTGAACTTCAACTCTTTATTAACGATCAGGAACAGAGCAAAAACCTTGGGCAGCAGCAGCTCTTTTATAGAGATGGCTGCTGTCCCATTAACCAATGAATTGCGTTGGAGCGTTTAAACTGTGCCCAATGTGAGACGACCCGCTATTAGCCAATCAGATTGCCCAGAAGAGACCAATCATGATTTGCTATTTATGGGCCAATCAGAAGTGCAGGATTACGAGCCTGCTTTTCTAGTAAGGTTGTCAAGCTTTATTAAATGCATTTACTTAGTTCATGACACCCCTCCCCCCTAGGTTTCATTTGAGGGGTGTGGTGATGTATTCACGTAGATACGCAGGTCGTTTCACCTGCCTGTTCGATTTGCGCTGTTCCACCGGTTTCTGTCTGCAGTCCGGTTCCGGTGGAACGTTTTCTGAGTTGTCTGGCACGAACGGTTCCGTTTCTCCGAGGAAAGACTCGGCGTGGTTATTCCCGTTTTCGCCATTGTTGTCATCTGGGTTTCTTGGGATTGTTTCCGGGTTCCGTGGGCTTGCCTCTATCGTGGTATTTCTCCGCAGCGAGGCAAACCCCCTTCCTGATTCTTCTTCAGTCAGCGTGTTTCTCTCAAGTAGTTGGGTTGGCGGTTGTTTTTCCCTGATTACGTCATCCGTTATTTCGTTTTCGGCCCCCTCGATATCCCCTCCCTCCCCAGTTTGAGAATCAGGGGAGTCGCGGGAAATGGGTTGCAATCTGGATTGAAGCTGATGTATATGGCGTTTCCATACTTTCCCGTCCGTGGTTTGTAGGCGGTAAGATCTGGGGCCGGTGAGTTGGGTTATGGTTGCTGGGACCCACAACGGTTCGCCAGAAAAGTTTTTAGCAAACACCAAGTCACCTACCTTGAATTCGCGGCACTTTCCGCTAGATCCGAAAGGTTTCTCTGGCGAGTAGGAAGGGTGTAGACGGTCGAGGTGGGATCGAAGTCTCCATCCCATCAACAGTTCGGCTGGAGTCTTATTCGTGACGGTGTGTGGGGTGATGTGTTGGAGTAGAAGTATTCTGTTCAGCTTGTTGTCAATATCCCCCTGCTCCATCTTGTGTAGAGTCTTTTTGACGAATTGGACCATTCGCTCAGCCCTTCTGTTGGCTGCAGGGTGCGCCGGCAAAGTTAGTGCATGGCGGATGCCCCAGTCCGCTAGGTACTGTTCAAATGCCAGGGCAGTGAACTGGGGCCCGTTATCAGAAACTAGAACGTCTGGTAACCCATGCGTTGAGAATAGTTTATTTAGTTTGTTAATGACAGAGTCGTTTGTAGTAGTTTTCATTTTGTGGATTTCGAGCCAGTTGGAATAGGCATCCACTGTTAGGAGAAAAGTGTGACCTTTGGTGGGTCCCGCAAAATCAATGTGGATGCGGGACCACAGACCCCGAGGGGTTTCCCACTCGGTTGGCATTGCTCTTGGTGGGGTACTGCTGACTTCTTGGCACTTTCGACAGGTAGTTACCCAGGCTTCGATCTGCTTATCGATGCCCGGCCACCACGCGTAGCTTCGTGCGAGCGCCTTCATGCGCACGATGCCTCGATGTCCTTCGTGCAATACTTTTAAAACTGCCTGTTGTAGCCTCTCTGGGACAACAACTCTGTCTCCCCATAGAATGCAGCCTTTCTGAGAAAACAGTTCAGTCTGCCGGTTTTTGAACGGTGCGAAGTTGTCGTGGGGTTCATCGACTGGCCACCCCTGTTCAACCCAGCTGAGAACTCGTGCCAGAACAGGATCCCGTTTCATCTCGATGGCGATGTCTCTTGCTGTTAGCGGCAGCGAGTGCAGCGTTTCAATTTGGAGCATCATGAGGGTTGGAGCTGGGTCGTCGACGGCTTCCGGAATTGGGGAACGGCTTAAAGCGTCAGCGTGGGGAATGGCTTTCCCCGGGCAATGTTGCAGTAGATAATTGTATGCAGCCAGGAAATCTGACCAGCGAGTCATTCTTGGCGACAATATATAGGGGGTTGGCTTGTCTCCCGCTATAATACCGAGCAATGGCTTGTGATCTGTAATTATAGTAAATGCTCGTCCATACACATATTCGTGAAAACGCTTTACAGCCGATACCACAGCAAGAGCCTCTTTATCGAGTTGGCTATAGTTCCTTTCAGCCCTTGATAATGTCCTTGAAAAAAACGCAATAGGTGCCTCATTTCCGTTTGGTAACACATGACTCAAAATGGTTCCTACTCCAAACAGTGATGCGTCGCATGTAATGGTTAAAGGCAAAGTCTCGTTATACTGCATTAACACAGCGTCGGAGGTCAATAAGTCTTTCACTTGTCGGAATGCGTGTTCCTCTCGGTGTCCACAGACCCAGGCAGCTCTTTTGTCGAGAAGTCTATGTAGGGGCTCAGCTACGGTCGCCTTCTGGGGCAAGAAGATGTTGTAAAAGTTAATAAGTCCCAGGAAGGCTTGGAGGTCCGTCTTATTCTTAGGTCTTGGGGCATTTTTGATTGCTTTTAGCTTGTTATCCATGGGGTGGATTCCTTGTCTATCGAGAAGGTATCCAAGGAATTCTACTCTCTCGGTACACAGTTGACATTTATTTTTTTTAACCTTCAGGCCGGCATCTTTGAATTTTTGGAGAACCATTCTGAGACGCTTTTCTAATACTTCTTTGTTAGGGGCAGCAATCAAAACATCATCAAAATACGGCACGACCCCTTTGATGCCTTGTAAGAGTCTCTCCATCAGACTTTGGAAAATCCCCGGGGCTACGCTCACTCCGAATTGGAGTCTATTGCACTTAAAGGCACCCCTGTGCGTTACAATAGTTTGTGCTTCCACGGTTTTCGCATCTACAGGTAATTGTTGATACGCCTGCGCTAAATCCAGTTTTGCAAATATTTTCCCACCGCCCAGGGAGTGGAGAAGGTGTTGAACCACCGGCACCGGGTAAGCGCTCTGTTGAAGTGCGTGGTTCAGGGTGGCCCGGTAATCCCCACAAATTCTTAACGATCCATCCGGTTTGATGGGTGTTACTATTGGGGTTTCCCAATGGGCGTGGTCAATAGGTTCTAAAACACCCATGGCTATTAATTTATCGAGCTGCTCGTCGATCTTTGGCTTGAGTGCGAAAGGCACCCGACGAGGCTTAAGGCGAATGGGGGCTACTTCAGGGTTAAGGTTAAACTATATCGGGGTCCCCGTGTACTTGCCTAGCTTCTCTGTAAAAACGTCCTCGAATTCCTGGACGAGGGCCTCCTCCCAGTCATCACTTCCGGCTTGGTGAATGCCAGCTACTTCGATCCCGAGTGGGGCGAACCATTGAAGGCCTAATAAGCTAGGTCGGTCACGATCGACGACGGTCAGCGGTAGTGATGCGGTACGATTTTTGAATGATACTTGGACTTGGCTGATACCGACGACTGGGATTCTGTTTCCCTAGTAATCTTTGAGTATAATTTTTTGGGCGCTGAGGTTCTGACGACGGATTGCAGGGATTAGCTGTTTGAGGGTCTTCCAGGAAACCATCGAGAGAGATGACCCTGAGTCGACTTCCATTACGCAAGGTTGGTTCTCGATAGTGACCCTCACTCAGATTTTTCTTGCATCTAAGGATGAAGCGTGGCCGATGGTAATGGTTTGGTGTGCCTCTTCTCATCTCGTTGAAGTGGCAGGTGCTTTATTTCTGTAGGAGTGGTTGTTCCATTGGTGGTTCAGGCGATCCCGACTCACAGGAAGATTTCCTGTGGTCTGGCGGTAGTTATTCTCCCTCCTAATCGGACTGGATCCTCGCTTGCTTCTACAGACCTTTGCGATGTGGCCTCTCTTTCCACAGGAATGGCAGAGCGCGTCAAGGAATTTGCAATCTGATCGCAGGTGGTTTGCCCCGCAACCAGCGCATTGGTCGTTTAGAATCAAAAATGCCTTTATGGCACATAATCAATCCATTGATCAGAAATAGATTAACCTTTCTGTCTTCACAAACCATTTCAGCTATGACTAGTCATTATATATAAACTTGTTTTAGTCTTCACATCTTTCCATATCAGGTAAAATCTTACCTTTAACAAATGAATAATTTTCCCAAATTCAGCATCAGCTTATACCAATCAACAATTAATATTTCAGAATCTTTGCACAAAACTGAACTTAGTTCTCCTCTCAGAAATAGAACAGAAGAGAAATAAATTTCCCAAGAAGTCGAACAACAGCAGGTTTTGGGGATATAATTTTCATTTCCATTCAATCACAACTCTTTTTGCATTTCTTTCTGTACAGGTTGATTTTTGGTATCCAGATTCAGCACTGCATATAGTCAAACAGATGGAAGTAGATTTCCATGTCAGTGCTGCACAGAGTAATACTGTTGAGAGACTCTTGAAACAGAATGGAATATCTTATCAGTAAGTTAACTTCTCTATTTTTCAGGTCTGTGACTATGCATTTTTGAAATTGTGTAGAGATTGCACACACCCGGGATATGTCTGTGTGATGTATTTATGAATAGTGTGTTTCAATTAATTTATTCTCTTATTAGAAAATAGTGCTCTTGGATAGAAATAATAAGTTGCTCTTCTTCACTGTGGCATCCTTGCTGAAAAAAGGGAGGAATTCTTCTGTATTGTGCAAAAAAGTTCATTTCCAGATAGAGTATGGCTGCAGGACCAACATGCAAAATTCCCGGTGAAGTCAACATGAAATATATATGAAAAGAAATTTAAAAATTACCTGGCCTGCTCTAACAAATACAAATGATTCAAATACCACTGAAAACAATGAAACAGGTTTGTCACATCTAAGCCTATTGTCAATTTGAGGATCAGATTTAAGTTGGATGGGCCCCATGATTTCAAAGTTGTACAAAATCTGCATGCAGTATGCATTGAATAATTAATGTACGTTCAAATAAATATACAATGAATCAGTCTGAAATAAATCAAAGTCTGTAGATGACATTTTTGTTAGTGTGGACTTGCTATTCTTCATTGTTTTCTTTATTGTTTTAACTTGATGTAAGCTGCTCAAAGTCATTTTGGAGTCAAGTGGCTTCTAAAATGCAGAAATAAAATGAGCTCAGGCAGAGTATATTTTTCTGATTTTTTTATCATGTAGAATAATATTTGACAACCTACAAGAAGACATTGAAAAGCAGCTTGATGGTGACAAGAATGATGGATACAGCTATGAAAAGTATAATGAATGGGACAAGGTACAGAATTTATGTGACATTCTACAAAGGAAGCATTCTTCAGCAGAAACAATCCCAATTTATCAGAGACACTGGGAAGCAGGTGTGGTGACACAACAGCTTAATGACATTGAATTTGTCAACCAGAGATAGTTGGCACTCCAGCAGTTTGACCCACGATAACACATGACGGAGTAAGTTCTTGACGTTTGCCCCTAGCTCCTGCCCATCTAGCAGTTCAAAAATATGTAAAAATGCAAGTAGATAAATAGGTACCACTTCAATGGGAAAATCTAGCAGTGTTCCATGCAGGTGCCGAAGCTGCCTAGATTCTTCCAACGTTGGCGGAAGAAAACACCTGACATGACTTGACATCCCTCAAATGCTGTAGCCAGCTGGTACAAAGCTAGTTCACCCCCTGTGACATACTGTGGATAGCATGCAAGCATGAACAAAATGAACTAGCAATATTTGTCTGCCAGTACTATTCTGTGATAAAAAGCATCGTAGAATTCCCTTGATATGTACACCATATACTAAAAAGAGAGAGAGAGATTGAACCATTTGTACTTGTTTGTCACTTGGATGTACATGCATCCTCTGAAGCATGAAGAATGCAGTTGGTGGCTAACGCTGGGCCTAGTTTAGACTATTACCTAAGGATTCTATCAAAAATGCATGCAAAAAATTTTCACACAGGATTTCACATGTATCTTTTTAGTACTTGGCACCTTTCGTGCAAGGATTGAGCTATAGTCACAATTATGTGAATTGTAGAAATCATCCTCTATTATTATCCCATTGCCCATTTTTCTTCAAAGATTTGTCAACATTTTTACAGATTCTATTCTTCTATTGCATTTACCAGAACCTTCATTTACAAACTTGGCAACTTTAATATGTAAGGACTTAAACTCCCAGAATTCCCCAGCCAGCACATTGTCCAACTTTTAAAAAATCATTTAATTTCACAGGCAGCAGGTCATTTCATCAGGTGTTTTTTCAGAATCCTTTTTTTTTTAACTCAGATTTCTGATTGGACTGCCAGAATTGCAAAAAGCAACTCAACATTGGTTTCCCGTATTCAGATTGGAAAGACATTTGAAAATCGACCCATCTTCCTTCTTCAGGTATTAAAATCTTTTCAGGAAAATAAGCAAACAACAGATGAAATTGTGTTGAAAAACTCACCCTCCCAAGTTCACCACCCGTATCTGGCGAGGATTCAAACAATTATTTGATCAGTTCTATAGCTAGCAGATTACAGTGACTCACTGGTCTCAGAAGAACCAACAACAAAAGCCTCAAAGTTACATTGATCTTTTATACATGTTGATCAAGTGTTTCAGCCATGCATCTACATTAACAGAAGATCCCAAATGCAGGAAGAATTTCTTTACATCTAATGAGAAATAATAGCCAGAAAAAGACAAAGAAAAAATAGCCAGAAAGGAGGAAGTGGGTATCCTTTCATGGTGTGAAAACATTACAGATACATTTTCTGAAAACTTACATAGAATCTTTGATATAACTTGCACCAAAGCTTTAATTGTTGCATGAGAGATAACAAAATGTCCTCTAAAGACATTGAATCTATTGCCTCCTCTGAATGTGTTAATTTCATAATCAATTCATCATCAATAGGCACAAATTAACACACTAAATTCTACTCTTCAAGGTACTGCAAGAGAAATACAGCAAAATATATGTATTTAGTAATACATGTATATTAGTAAGCATAATTGATTCAATCTGAGTTCTTCTTCCAACTCTCCACTAGATGAAGTTATGTATCATGCTAAGCTAACATGCAATTTATTTAGTTTTATTTTAGTATTCCGTTAGTCCAGCCATCTGATTAACAAATCATGGCTGGTTTATGGTCAAGAACACAAGAATATTACTTTTTTTCTGAACGGAGGACCAATAAAGTACTCCATACCTCATTATATTTTACATAGCAGGTGGGGTCAGAATGAATAGTGGGTATTGTTAAGACAAATATTATATTTGCTTTCATTTTATTTGCAACACATAAAATTGAAATTAGTTAAGTATATATAATACAGTTGTTTCCACGTATATAAGAACATTCTGCTCCCATCACATTGAACATTACAAGTGAACAGTGACTTCTGCAGATGTTTCAAGAGCACTGCTGCCCTGAGGCTTAAGGTTATGCATATTTGGGTTATTGTGTCATTTTGCTTAATATAATAAGCATGACATGACAACCCAACAATAAAGTCATCTTGCTCTTTCAATGAGACAACAGTGAAAAATTACTTGCATGTACGTTTCTTCATACAAGAATTAGAATGAGACTCTTAGAAACTTTTTTTTTATTAGCAAATCTATTTAAAAGTAAAGGTTGCTGAAACAGAATGGATACTGATCCAGAATGGAACAGTAAGGAATAGTATTGTATTGAAGTGTACTTTCTTAAAAACCGTTTTGTTTTTTTTAAAAAAAATGTTTTCAAGGCAGATTGGAAAGAAAAGTGGAGAAGGAAATGCCATCTTCATGGATTGTGGTGTTCACGCACGAGAGTGGATTTCTCCTGCCTTTTGTCAGTGGTTTGTGAAAGAGGTTAATTAAAAAGGGTTTTTTGTCTCAAATTTATTAAGAGTAACCTTCTCCTAACTGTGCTCAAATATGTTGAAACAACTTCTAGCATCTCTAGAAGTTCTTACTCATTCACAATTTTAGTTGGTTGGTTGGTTGGTTGGTTAGTTATATCCTACCTTTATTATTTTTACCATAACTCAAAGCAGCAAACATACTTAACACTTTTTCTTCCTCCTATTGGTGGTATTCTACTGGTTCAGCCCAGTTCTGCCGAGCCAATAGTGGTGATGAGCAGCGGAGACCGAACCAGTTTTCTCTGCTAGTCTGCTGTTGGGCCTACCCACCCGGGCTCCCATACTCACTTTTATTCTCTGAATTTGAAGCGCAGCTGCTTTGCGTGGCACAGAAGAGTGCCACACAGTAGCTGCTAAAGTGACCAGGCTTGCAGGAGGTGAGTTAGAACACCTCTGCACCTGTGCAAAGTATGCATTTGGTGTGTGTACGCATGCAAAGTGTGTGCATGCGCACAAAGTGCGCCCACCAAGCCACGCCCACTGAACCAGTGATAAAAGTATTTGAATCCCACCACTGACCTTTGTGAAGTAGTTGGGCTGAGAGAGAGTAGCTGGCGCAAGGTCACCCAGCTGGCTTTCATGGCTAAAGTGGGATTTAAATCTCTTGCTTTCTTGCCTGGTGCTTTAATCACTAGATCAAACTGGCTTTGATCTTTGATCTTTTGATCTTTGCATGTTCTATAACTCACAAGATCAAAGCCCTTGTATCCCACTAAACAAACAGAAATGTGAAGCACGTTTCTGTATTCTTAAAAAAGTCCTTCATGATTAATATAGAAAATAGATTCTATGTGATGAAGAAAATCTGCAATTCTAGGTACACTTTATTTATAAGACCAACTGAGTCTAAATTTTGAGTTATATAGGATCACAGAGAAATGTATTTATTTATTTCTAAAACAGTTGTGTTTTCTAAATTATCAGGCCATCAGCACCTATGGAAAAGACAGGGACATGACGCACATACTTGATAACATGAATTTCTACATCGTTCCTATAGTTAATATAGATGGCTATGTCTGGAGCTGGACTCAGGTATTGTTCATACTTTTTAACAGCATAATCTCTTCTAGCACCTAAGACATTCCTATGCTCCTTGAACGAAGCACACCAATACCATCAGTTAAAGATCAACTTTTATTTTAAGATTTATTTTGAAAAAGCATATATCAGAAGTCCTCTCTCTTGCCTGCTATTTCCAAAGCTAATAATCTATAATTTCACAAAGATATTTTTTAGGAGGGAAGGGTGGTTAGATTTTAAATACTTCTGGCACATTTTTAATGCACCTAGATCAATAGATGGCCAGCTTTGTGTCATATATGAGGGGAAGCGGATCCATGACCCCAGAGCTTCATAGGATCCTCATCCCTATTTTATAATTTTGAAGACCACTTTAACTATGAAATGAGAATTTTCTGCCATTGTGAAGTAAACATCCTTTGATGATATTTCAGTTCTGAATACAATAGAAATTTTGCATACTAAAGATATATTCAGTGTATTTATTTGGTAAGAAGTAGAACAGCCCATTGAAATGAATTGGAATATAACTAATCAAAAGCATTCATTTCTGTAAACTACTCTGAGTCTATAGCCAATCCAACTGCATGATCATCTTACATTTGCTGATAAGACTAGAAATGAAGACAACAAAACAAAATTAATAGAAAGCAGAAATGATTACAAATATCTCTACTGCAAGGTACAGATAAGCATAACAAAAGATATGTATAATGTTATAATAGATCAAAATTATCATTATTAACAATATAATAATATCTATCTATCTATTTCATAAAACTGTAACATAACTCCAAGCCACCAGATTCAGCTTAGTTCAATATCTTTTTTAAATAATATATATTTGCTTCAGGTCTAATTAATTCAACCAACTTCTAGCCCAAATCAAAGAGACTGTGGAGAAAAAGAAAAAATATATGTAGCAACATGAGCAGTTATGAGTGTTCCTAAAAGAACATATATCTGCTCCTTAAGCTGCATTGATTGCTGGTTTGCTTTTCAAGATGCTGGTTTTGACTTTTAAAGCCCTATAAGGCATGGGGCCAAGTTATCTAAAGGATCACCTACTTCTTTCCAGTTATTTCTATCTCTACCCATTCCATCAGGAGAGGCATGTTGCAGATTCCATCCATTAAGGGGTTAACTGGAGATGAGCCTTTTCTATTGTTGTGCCTGCTCTCTAGAACATTATTGCGCCTGAAGCAATAGTGGGATTCAAACAATTTTACTACCAGTTCTGTGGGCGTGGCTTGGTGGGCGTGGCTTGGAGTATACTGTAAAATCTCCAGTCAGATGTGGTATTTGCCGGTTCTCTGTTCCACTACCGATTCTCCAGAACTGGTCAGAACCTGCTGAAAACCACCTCTGGCCTGAAGTGAGATCAGCCCCAATCCTTATGGCCTTCTGCAAAGCCCTCAAAACATGGCTTTTTTGTCAGGCTCGGAGATCCCGTGTCAGCAGAAAACATGTTTGCATCATGTATGATATCTTAAAATTAATCCTTCACAAACTTGTTTTCCTTATGTTTGTAATTTAACTGTTTTAGCTGGTTTTTACATTTGATTTTAGTGGTTTTCAAATCAAATCAAATCCAAACCTTTATTGTCAATGCACAAAATGTGTACAATGAAATTGAATATTTTGCTACATGCCGCCTGCACACACACACACACACACACACACACACACACACACTTTTATAGGACTCTAAAAAGGAAGTCTGAAGGTTGGAATTAAGGAGGCTGTTGCTTGGGTCTTGGTCTCTTTAACATCCTGGCACTAACGAGAAAAGACTGCAAAGAATTTACAGGGGAACAAATCTAAATGCAGTTAGACTTCACTGAATGTGGTTACAGTTACCAAGCCACAGAATGTTTCTATCAGTATAATATTACTAGTGAAGCAGGGGATGGGTGCTTATTAAGACCAATGACTTGCTAAATGGCTATGTGCGGATAAACCATGATTGAGAAAACTAATGAATTAGTTTTACTGCTATAACTGAAACATATCTAACCATTTTAGAGACCTATTTTATAAGATTAGACCCTACTAAGGGAAGAAGCAGACTGATTTAAGGCCGCCAAGGACTGCATCAAAAAGCAATTAATTCATAATATTTTTGTAATACATAGATGATTTATAAAGTGATTGAGAAAAGAATACTATGCGAATCTGACATAAAATATATGTATATCTTATATTTAGTAGATAGAAAAATATTGTTATTAATGTAGAATAAAGGTGGTAAGCTCAAATTGACAACTAAAGGGGACAATTTTTAGAATTAATAGAACAAGGATTGATAAAATGGCAAATGTGACAGATAAAAGTAATATGTGCAATAAATATAGAAATGAAATAAGAATCTTAGATAATATTGTAAAGTAAGATATGAGAATATCACAAGAAAAATGAAATAAGTTAAGATAAGAATCAAAATTGGATAAAATAAGTTTAACCAATGTAATATTAATAAGTAATAATGTGATATGAAACTGAACAAGAAAGATGAAAATGTAACTATGGTCATGTTTGTGCTGAAATGTAAAAACCTGGAACCTGGAACCTGCTTGCCAAAAGAGAGGTTTTTAAAAAAAAAAAAAATGAAAGAAGGAATTGAATAATGAAACTATCTTGTATACTTAAATAATATAGTGATTGGCATAAGAAGAATGTATTGGAATATTGAATCATTAAGTAATAAAAGATTATAATTTAATACAAATATGTGTATTAAAATTAGAGATTTGATTAATGTTATTATTTTTGTTTGCACCAGAATGTATGATACTTAGGTGCCACACTGTTTATGTATTGATGTGTATACGTAGAATAAAATAAAAAAATTGGGGGGGAAAAGAAGCAATTAATTCAGAAGGACAAAAATAAGGCATTCTTGGATATAAAGCTTCCAATATTTTTCTAATGTAGTAGGAAATCTGTTATTCTATATGCCTAGTTCTGGGTTTGAAATACTGTACATTTTAATCTAGTCAAGCCGTGTCTTGAAATTTCTACCAGGCTAAGGTCAAAAGTCAAGATAAGCTGTGAAGTGTTAGAGATCAGTCTAATCAGGGAAACTTCACAAGACCAAAGCTTAGATGGGCATTTTTCTATTTATAAGGGCTTCATTAGGTACATTTGTCTAATGGATCTGAGGATGCCTCTCTTCTTCTCTGCATTCTTTTCCAGAACACTTGAACAATCTTTTTTATCTGAACTGCATAGCAAAGAATTATAGCTAAACAAGGCTAGCAAAGCAAAGCTCACTGAACGCACTGTCCTGCTTTCCATTGCACTGTCTTCCTGCAGACAATTAATGCATTCCACTTTCTATTAGCATAAACAAAGAGAAAACATACAGAAATATATACGGCTCAGATTAAGTCCCTAAATTATTTTTGTCCAGCAGAATCGTTTTTGGAGAAAGAATCGTTCTAATACATTTCAGAATAACTGCACTGGTGTTGACATCAATAGGAACTTTGATGTTGCATGGAATAGTAAGTAGCCTTTGTAAATTATGTATATCTACATGTTATTTTCAAATGACTAATCCAGATGGTGTTTTAGTAAAATTACCTAGATTACCACTAGACCTTTAGAGTAAATCAAAAAGAGTTGAATTGAAAATAGCATTTTTAATGAACCTAAGAACTAAGATTGAGTAAACATTTCATTTTTATACCAAAGCACCATACATCACATCAGTGTTGATACTCATTTCTTGACTACTGTGGGAAGTACAAAACTCTGGACTTTTATTCTTCCATTTTAGTTTATTTATCTAAAGGAGGTAAGGTAGCATTGTACACTTCCCAGAATCCTATTGCAATTTGTCACCAAAACTTAGTGATGTAACTTACCATTAAAACTGTAATGTTCATGCTTCCAATTAAAAGGGAATGAATCCTTTCCTTCTTCATTTTTTTCATGCTTTTATCATATGTGTTTAAGTGTGTTTTAAATCTTTTCTGGGTGATCAAGATAGTATTTTATTTTATACTATACAAGCTCTTTCTCTGGATGTAGACTGCAATTTCTAAAAAGTATTTCACTGATATACTGTAGGTTAAATGCTTTGTTAAAAAGAATTGTTTCATATTGAAATATTAGTGTACATAATGACTGAGCACTATAAAAATCCAGTTAGCCTTGGGAAGTGACTTTTTTCAAATTATTATTCAAGTTATATCTTATTGCTATAAAGTATTTATCTGTGTGACATGTATGTCTACATGATGCCCAGTTTAGTCTAGGGTAAAAACACCAGTAAGCAGTGAGTGGTTTAGGCATGAAAACCAATTGAGTGACTTTGGGCCAATCAGTCTCTCTCATCTAATGAAATGAGGTTCAGGCAGCAAGCCAATCAGTCAATTCTTGTTGCAATCTATGGGTCAACACTCTATTGGTCCAATGATAAATGGAGCCTGCAATTGTGGGATAATGCTAAGAAGAAGGAAAAAAAAGAGGTAAGCTTCTAGCTATTAGATATGTAATAATATATGGAAATTGTACCCTATTAAATATTCTAATACAATCATTGCCAAGTGTTATATTTTTGCATAATTGTTAAACTATCTCTAGAGCATATTCCTATGGCCATTTACTAGGAGTAATCCCTCCTGAATACATTGGGACATACTTTTGAATAAGCTTGCAAAAATAACCTGTGCAGGCAAATCTATCAGTTATTTGAACATGTTTAACTGGTTTATTTCTATCAATCAAATTAACATGCTAAGTGATGTTGCCATCAGCGTAGATCAGTGGAAGATGTTCTGATTCAAACCAAAGAAATAAACCTTTATCAGTAATGTCTATGCTAGCCAGGATCAACTTAACTGTATAATAAAATGAAACTGTTCTTTCCACCAACAGCTGCTGATTCTTCCAAAAATCCCTGTGAAGAAACATATTGTGGATCTGCACCAGAATCTGAACCAGAAACTAAAGCAGTTGCTTCATTCATCCGCAGCCATCTTCCTTCAATCAAGGGCTACCTCACCATGCATTCCTACTCTCAGATGATATTGTTCCCTTTTGGTTATACCTATGAGAAGACAGCAAATTATAATGAATTGGTATGAAGGCATTACAATTATCCCATTTCCCAACATTTATAATTTGACTGTCTGCTTTGTGCTCAACCAACACAATTCTTTACTAATCTTCAGATGGAATCCCATCTCATGTATCTATCAAAGAAATTCATATCCAGAAATCCTAGGACTTCATGTGGCTTGTCATCCCCACCCAATTAATACCAGATTGTTAAATTTAATGTGATGAAAGAGGAGTATTTTAAATAAGTGGCAATAGATTATATGAACATAATTTTAATTACCTATCAATAAATTAGATCAAGTATGATTTTTGCCCTGCCCCCCATTTACTTCTTTGTCTTAGGAATTTAATCCCCCAAATCCTACTCAAAAACCAAAAACATCAGAATTTTTAATCACATACGGCACTTTTTGACCTGCTAAATATATAAGGTCCAGAATGTACAAGCATGATGAAATCTGCATTTCTCAGAATTTTGATATAATTAAAATGTTACAAAAATGGCACAATAGGAACATTAGAACTACACACTACTAGAACAAGCTAAAATTAGAACAATTCATATGAATATTCATGTGAATTTTTTTTTTTGCTGAATTCATAACCAATGGAAATGAAAAAATGAGGTCAATAAGATGAAAAACTCAATGAAGCACAATTGAGGTAAGCAAAATCATCCAGGTGTTATAGATTCTGTGGCTCAAAAAAGTGTATAGGAATCTTATTTTTAAGATCTTTGTATTTTGCTCCAATTGATGCTGGTTTCTTCTTTGTTTGATACTAGAATGAACTTGCAAAAAGAGCTGTCAAAGCTATAGCCAGCCTTTATGGTAAAGTGTATAAGTATGGAACATCCGCATCTACTATCTGTACGTATTTTACACATTGTTAAAAGACATATAAGTCATGCTGGAGAGTGATAGGGCTTTCTTCCTCTGGGTAGAAGAAAAAAAAGTTGCATGGAGATGTAGCACTTGTGGAAAATTCAGGTAGTCCTAATGATCATTAGTTCAGCAATCATTTAAAGTTACAATAGTGCAGGGATCTTATGGCCAGTCCCTGAAGTTGCTGCCATTGCAGCATCGTTACAATCAGAGATTGCCCTTTGCAAGCTTCCAAAAAGCAAAATGAATGGAGAAGAAGGCAAGTAGTTGCAAATTGCAGTAAGTTGCAGTCATCTGACATTGTGCTTGATGACAGCGTACAATTCACTTAATACCCCCAACCAGAACTGCCATCTTAAGTTGGTATGGTCACATGATTTTTCTCTTTACAACCTTAGCATTGGAGTTACCAGTCTCAGTTACTGTCATTTACTGAGGAATAATTGTACCATCTACAATACAGAAGATATTTTTTTCAAAGAGCTGTTGGAATTATGTTCTCATAAACCCAATGCTAATCTCTTGTAACCCAATCTCTTGTAACTACATGTAAATGAAGCCACCAAAAGAGTGACAAATAAGAAGACCCAAAGGTTTAGGTATCCTAAAAAAAGCTCATCTTTGTGGGGGCACTATATAGGGAATGGAGAGAGAGAAAAACAAATCAATACGGCTAAAACAGATGTGGGTCAAAATGGAGATAGCCAGTGAGTACATAAAAGTCCATGAGTGTAAATGGATGATATTGCTAAGAGATTAATAACAGATCAATCCCACATTACTGATTTCAGGAATGTGTTTATGTGTTTCTCTCCTTTTAGAAAAGAAGCAGGCAACTGAGCCATAGCAATAGACTAGTAATTAGACTTATATACTGCTTCATGGTGCTTTACAACAGTCTCTAAATGGTTTTCAGAGTCAGCATATTGCCCCCAACAATCTGGGTCCTCATTTGACCGACTTTGGAAAGATGGAAGGCTGAGTCAACCTTGAGCTGATCATAATCGAACTACTGCCAGTCGCCAGAATTAGTCTGCAATAACCACATTCTAACCACTGCACCAACACAGCTCCATAGAATTCCTATAGCATTCTACATAAACTGTTTTTCTATCTACGTCTATTTTTATTACTGGCAGCAGGTTTCCCAGTTCTGAGAGGGCTTTCATAACTTATGATTCCTGATCCTATTTTTAAAATGGAAGTAACTGATTCTAAACATTTGATTTCCCTCAAGGCCTCCACAAGTGAACAACAATCTTCTCTTAAAATTATACAAACACCAGTATCTTACCTTCACATTAATCATTTTGTTTTTGTTTTTTCTCTTTTTTTCCCTGCTATGTTTCCTATCATTCCATTTGTTGTGTCTTGTTTTGCAGATCTTTCCTCTGGTTGTTCCGATGACTGGGTATTCAACCAGGGAATCAAATATTCCTTCACCTTTGAGCTTCGTGATAAAGGCAAATATGGATTCCTTCTCCCTGAATCCCAGATCAAGCCAACTTGCCAGGAGATCATGCTAGCAGTCAAGTTAATCACCAGTTACATCCTCAACAAGACGTTATAATTTGGCTTTTGGATGCATTATAGATGTTTGGACAGTAATAAATCATCATTTATTACATGAGAAATATTTGTTTTGACTTTGAAAGCTCTTTTGGGATCCATGGCCCCAAGTCAATCCAAAACAAGGCATTTCGGCTTTTTCCGTTTCAAGCATAAAATATAATTTCACAAATATTTTTTCCTGCAAACTTGATTCTAGTTATGAGACAGCAGATGGACATTCCCGAAAAGGGAGGTCTTTATATTTACCTTTGATATATGTACAAATTCTGAATTAAGGGAAATGTATGATTTCGGTTATTGAAAGATGTACCAGTTAAGTCACAGGCCTGTCAAATGGCAGCCCGTGGGCTGGATGCATTACTTGCAGGCCATGCCCACTAAGGCAAAAATACATGACGATATGTCATGTGACATAATCGAGTTTGACACCCATGAGTTAAGATACTTGAATTAAATGAGCTATGGTATATATTTCCTTAAAATTAAATAGAAACATAAGGATTTTGTCTTGTTTTTATTATTGTTTTGAATGAAAATAAAATGGAACACCTAGTCCAGTGGTGGTATTCGACTGGTTCTGCCCGGTTCTGGAGAGACGCTGGAGCGATGAGCAGTGGAGACCAAACTGGTTCTCTCCACTGCTCTAATGGCTCTGCTGTTGGGCCCACCCACCCACCCAGGCTCGCACACTCACCTTTATCCGCTGAATTTGAAGCACAGCTGCTTTGCGTGGCACAGAGTAGCGCTACGCAGCAGCTGCTGAAGCAACTGGGATCGTGCAGGCTTGCAGGAGGCAAGTTAGAACGCCTCTGTGCCTGCGCAAAGTGTGCATTTGGTGCACGCATGTGCATGCAAAGCGTGTGCACGTGCGCAAAGCGCACCCACCAAGCCACACCCACCTAACAAGTGGCAACAATATTTGAATCCCACCACTGACCCAGTCCCTCATTAGAAATCAAAATGAAGGGAGGCTATAGTGTAATTTCCATACGATGCACACAATCAAATAATATTTTGGCATCTTGTGCATCCTTTAGATTAAGTGGATATTAAGTGAAAGAAGGCAGGATTGGACCATGTTGTACTAGATCAGATGTACAGTAATACCCTTTCTTTTGAAAAGGCTGAAAATTCTTCCTTCAACCTAAGCTTTTCTTTGTATTGGAAGAAATTTCACTGCTGTAAATCGGAGTATTTCTTTGTAATGAAAATAACATCTCCCAAAGGTGATTTTTCACTGCAACAGGTCATAAGGGAAAAAGATGAAACTCATCTTCCCAAATTCCTGTTGTTTCAATAATGTTTATCCTTCTCATGAGAGCTATTTACAGGTGTAAAAACAGTCACACAAAATTAACATTATTTAGAATTATTGCAGCTTTGTGCTACATTAAGCCATAATGTAGCTTGCTTCATTGTGATTTAATGTATGCATGAGTCTGGCCAATCATTCCTTATTCAAGCAAACCTGTTAAACAATTCATGATGTATTATGATGGGTGAAACCAGCCATTGAATATGATAGTTTTTGTTCTCAAAGTTGCCAGTGGCGGAAAGGGCAGGAACTTTTTTGCAGTCCCCAAACTTGTTTCAGAGGAATTCAAGTGTAGTGGGTATATAGGTTGTTATATTTTGTGTTATCCTTAGTTTCAGAAAAACTTGAATCTAACCAAAATTTAGAATACTCAGACAGCAGTAAAGGGCAACTACTTATCTATGTGTTTTCTCCACTGGCTAAATTATAAAAAAAAATTCATGCATTCATGCCTTTTCTCAAACCCATCTTTTTTCACCTTTCTTTATAGAATGTGTGGTCTTTTAGTCATCTTCCTTCCCATGTTCTGAACCTGTCCCAATTTCTTTGAATTTATTTTAAAGTGAGGTGTCCAGAATGGAACACCATAGCTGAAATTAGTCTGACGTCAGCAAAGTAAAATAAAAGTATTGCTTTTTTGCAGTTTAAAAATTATGCTTCTGTTGATTTAACCTAAAAATGTATGCAGGCAATACTGTTTAGCTTTTCCATCTTTTGATTGTCTAAGGCCAGGCGTAGTTATAGTCAACATGCAATATTTTTTTTGAAGTCTTTAAAAGAATCATAAGAAATTGTCTGATTTAATATATTGATCCCTGCTTAGCCCAAGTATTCCAATTTAAAAAAAAAACTATTTTCACATTTTATGTTATTCTACAAAGTCAGTTTCTCTGGTGATTCAGGTCAACATGTTACTGCTTACCTATTATTGACCAAAATGTGCCTGCCTCTTTTCAAGGCTGGAATTGAAGATATGTCTTTAATAAACTTGCATCCTAAAATTTGCTGTGATTTCAGATCATTATTCTCCAAATAGACCAAGAAAGTGGAACCGTGCTGTGGACCTAATAAGTGTTAAATATTGTTCTCTCATTCCCTAATCCATGCTTTTTCCAGACAGCACACACCAATAGAATTAGTCAGCATATATTTGTTTCAGTTTCTCAAAGCCCTTTTGAAGATGGTTCACCATCTTTCTCATTTTACATTATCTCTTTTGCCATGAATTTTCAGATTATCAAATTTCATGATGTGGCAATTCGTGATATCTATTCACTTAACTTTAAAGGGCATAAAATTTAAATCTTCCCCAATATTTCACCTGGTTCGATCTCTTTGAGGAAGAACTGTTCCTCCACTTCCTTGACTAAAGACAATCAATGGTTTTTATTTTCTTGTTTTCTGCAATTTTCTGTCTCACCATCTCTGACCAAATCAAGCACTTTATGGATCCTGACCAGCACTGACATTTTTGACTGTGCACTGACTGAATCTTGCTATCTTGAAATGACTACGCTTCCTTAGGTAATTTCATTGTTTTGTTTTGAGTTAGTCAGCATTGCCCTCTGCTGGGTCTTGTTCTAAGCACGCTGTTGTTAATTTTAATGTTTATTAAAAAAGGGTGGGGTGGAAATTGGGAGCTAAGGTGGTTGAGGTGGTGAACTTGTTCTCTGTGGAAGTCATTGTTTTTATTCATTTTGTTGGTTTAATTTCTTTTTGTGTAAGTATTTTTGTTTTATGTTTTTAATTCTAGGTATAGTTTCTTTTGTTCCTGGTTGGATTATTTTCATAATAATTCTTTGTAGCCATGTATTATTTATCCGTATATCCATAATGCTACTTTTTAATGCTTTCAAGGGTGGCTTACTTTCTATGGTTTCTATGTATAATTATATTGTATTTAAATTTTTATATGCTGAATTTAAGGATATTGAGTTGGAAAGTGAGAGGAATGCCAACATCCTTAAATGTACAAAGATTCTATGTAGTTCTTTAAATATCTGATGTTATATTTTTGCAAAAATCTCATGTCAGAGAGGATGAAATATCTTTTTTTCATCTGAAATAGGCTAAGCAAGTATTTCACAACACTGGCAGTATTTTCAACTTAAGCATATTTTAATGGCTCAATATAGATCAGATACTTTTGCTACTTCAAAGGTATCTGAGATGCTGTAGTTGATGGAATCCATAACAGAAATCCATAACATCTCTTTATTAAAATTTGAAGAATATTTTTAAAGTGAATACTACTGGGATATATCAAACATAAACCAAAGGCACCAATAATACACCAATAATGCCCCATCAATGGCTACATGTTCTTAAAGATGTTAAAATGGTATTGATTAATTTCAGATTCAAGCTGATTCGTTAAAAAAAATATTTAGAGTGTATTAGGACTCCACTCCCTAAAGGACGTCCTTGAGATTTTCTCTGTGGGAGATGTAAAAAGGATTATTGACCCATATGATATATATATGTGGGGGGTGGTTAGCTAAAAGGATAATATTGAGAAATTGGAACAATGACTTTACTCCAGATATTAAAGATTGGCTTTTAGAAATTTCTGTTTTAGAAAAGATAAAATTTTCTACTAGTAAAAGGGTAAAGAAATATATTTTTCTATGGCATAAAAGTTACAATATTTTATAATAATATCGTAATATAGTATGATATGGTATTTTTGTAAAGCACTAGTCAATTGTCAATTTAATATATGATAGATTTGTTGTTTATTTGTTTCCTTTTTAACTTTTTTCCCTCTTTTTTTCTAAAGTTTTTATTTTTATGGATGTTTAGTTTACTTTTTTCATTATTCTGTATCTTAGTACTTTGTTTTATAATCTGTGGTCTTTTAAAAAAAAATAAAGTGAAATAAAACTAAAACACAGTATCACTGTAAAGCATTTTGGTAATTTTAAATGGTGGTTTGCAAACATAATATATAGCATGAGAGGTTCTTGGGGGTCATGCAGCAAAATAGCTTCATACACATAATCTTTCTTTGAAGATGTAGCAGAAGAGCAGGCAGAGCTGGGAGGCAGAGTAAAGTGGGTCATCAGCCTAGAATCAGTATGTTGCCACAAGTGAACTAAGTTTAACGCTTCTTGAATTCTGTTGATCCTTATCTGGTGCCAATTTAATATTGAACTTAGTTGACTAGATTCTTGTGTATAGGCTTGAACAATAAATCTTTGAACTGCAACTTAATGTATGAACCTGGTCCTTTGTGCTTAACAGAAGATGAGTTACTCTGTTCCACAGACTATCCCAGTTTCTTAATTTTGTATTTTTTCCAGCTTTGCAGTATGAGGTCTCGTGATCATTTTTATACCAGTTTTCAAATGTGGCCACAATCATACATTTGTGTTATCTATAATATCTTTTCTATCATGTGTTAGTGAGCTTCAGAGACTAACACATTCAGTAAGATCACCATCACTATGACTTGTGAAAAAAATGGAATTATCAACCTATATAATGTTTTTATTCTTCCACAAACATTATTTCAATAATTAAATCAACAGTGACACCCTGTGGCAAAATTTTATATTCTGCTTTAAAAATAATACCTTAAAGTATGAGATGGAATATACAGGTTGTTCTCATTTAGCAACCACAATTGAGACTGGCAACTTAGTTGTTAAGCAAAGTGGTCACTAGATGAAACAGCTATTCTG